AATTCTTTAGTGATGAAAGCAATAAAAGAGTTATTAAAAGCTCGAGCTACTTCCTCTCCTCTGTAATTGCCCATATATGCACCACTCCCTTTAAAGACCATCACAGAACATAAACCAAATCTCTCACTCTCACTCAAACAAAAGACAGAGACAGAAACAATGGCGAAATCTCCAGAAACAGAGCATCCAAACAAAGCCTTTGGTTGGGCTGCTAGAGACAAATCTGGTGTTCTCTCTCCTTTCCACTTCTCTAGAAGGTTTCATTCTCATCAATCTCTTCTTTCATTATATATTCTCATATCAAAATCCAAGATCTTCCTCGTACTCTGTTTCTATGTTACTCTGTCTTGTCTTATTACGCCCGCACTAATCTTAGATAGCTCTTTTGTAACTAGTTTCAACAAAAGCTCTCTCTTCTTTATCGTATGGTATAAAAAAAAGAACTAAATTTTGTCTGAGATCTGTTACAAAGTTTGTGTTTTTATGGTTTTCATAATGTTTCATTTAGATTAGTTTGTGTTTTTTTACTATGCAGAGACAATGGTGAAAATGATGTGACAGTGAAGATCTTGTATTGTGGAGTTTGTCACACTGATTTACACACAATCAAAAACGATTGGGGATACTCTTATTACCCTGTTGTTCCCGGGTAAATCGAAAAAACAAATCATACCAATATTTAACAAAAATTTCGATTATATATGTAACACCTTTTGTATATATAAATCAGCCATGAAATTGTTGGGATCGCTACAAAAGTTGGCAAAAACGTGACTAAATTTAAAGAAGGAGACCGCGTAGGAGTAGGAGTGATCACTGGCTCATGCCAATCTTGTGAATCTTGTGACCAAGATCTTGAAAACTACTGTCCTCAAATGTCTTTCACATACAATGCAATTGGATCCGATGGAACCAAGAACTACGGTGGATATTCCGAGACCATTGTGGTCGATCAACGGTTTGTTTTACGGTTTCCCGAAGGATTACCGAGCGATTCGGGTGCGCCATTGCTCTGCGCTGGTATCACTGTGTATAGTCCAATGAAGTACTATGGTATGACTGAGCCAGGGAAGCATTTAGGTGTAGCTGGACTTGGTGGTCTTGGTCATGTTGCGGTTAAGATTGGTAAAGCTTTTGGTTTGAAAGTTACTGTGATTAGTTCTTCTCCTGATAAAGAAGACGAAGCGATTAATCGACTTGGTGCTGATTCGTTTCTTGTCTCAAGTGATCCCAGGAAGATGAAGGTAATAGCAAAAAAGTTTTCTTTTAAACTATATGGTATAAACAAGATTATATGCATCAATGTTCTGTTTTGTGTGGGAAATTTAGGTTGCAATCAATACAATGGACTACATTATCGATACGGTATCAGCAGTACATGCTCTGTATCCGTTGCTCGGTTTACTCAAAGTTAACGGAAAGCTCGTCACTTTAGGACTACCTGAGAAGCCTCTCGAGCTACCAATTTTCCCTCTAGTTCTCGGTAATTAAATAAAACCCTAGGAACTTTCTTGTAACTTAAGTTAAGTTGAGTTTATTGGTTTTATAGGAAGGAAAATGGTGGGAGGAAGTGACGTTGGAGGAATGAAGGAGACACAAGAGATGCTTGATTTTTGCGCTAACCATAACATTACATCTGATATTGAATTGATCAAGATGGATGAGATTAATACTGCAATGGAGAGGCTTGCTAAATCTGATGTTAGGTACAGGTTCGTCATTGATGTGGCTAACTCCTTGAGCCCTCCATGACTTAGCCGAAATCTAAGAATCTACCATATGAGGAAGGAAGGAAGCTATGATTCTATGTCATAATCTTGTGTTTGTGTCTCTCTGAGTTATCTACGTTTTGTGTTTGGGAATCAGTTTCTTGTCAGACAAGTGACCTAAGTTCTCTGTTTTCTTATCATGTTCTGTTTCTTGAGAAAAACTCTGTGATTTGTTAAGCTATATGATGAATCTTGTTGAATATAAAGAAGCTATGTAACGCAAAATAATTATATTAAGAGATTTAATAATCATATAACCTTAAAACATTTGCGTTTATTTAATCAATATGGCAAATTACAATTTAACTTTTTTGGGAGAAGGAGCCGGAGAAGTGTCGCCGGAGTTTGGATTCTGGCAAAAGCCACGGAGGACATTAGTTTCTTCCGGCGTAAATCCGAGAGAAGTGAGCATCGCCGGCCAACAGTTGGTCGTGATTACATCGATGGCTTCGCAACAACTAGCACCGAGTTTGGCTTCACCGTTGAGGAAGAAGAGAATGATTTCGTTAGTGCATGATTTAAGCTCGTACAATGCATTCCAACACTCCATTAATCCTCCGCTTTGGAGCCTCGCCGCTATGTTGGTTGATTCGGACGGGAGATCTCTACCGGAGACAGTGGTGTTT